TTATGGTATACTTTGGACAATTATCAAATCCAAAATTCATCTTGGAGCCTTGTATTTTCTCATGATTTTTAAAATTTACTAAGATGATATGGGACCAATTTAAAGGTAAAATTAGTTATGACATAACCCTAAATCCATATCAACCAGGTGATCGTACCAAAAATATGGAAATTATGCTCACTATTAATCGAATACATTAATTTCCATAGGTTTGGTTCGATCAGCTGATTGATAGGGCTTTATGGTTTATGGCCATAACTAATTCTACCTTAAAGCGTTTGAAGTCCTGAATTCAACATTTAAACATTTTCCGTCATCTTCTCAGAACCTCAAAAGATCGGAGCCATGTTGATACCTGGGCGCCTGAACAAGTTTTTTAGTCTTAGTCGTCGATTCCTTACCATGGCCGTCCTCAAATCCTCACCAAAGCCATATTATATAGAGCCAAATTTTAATACTACCATTTTTTAGTCACAATAAAAATAATGTGAATATATGCGATTTTTCAACTGATTCTAGTGTGGCTGCCCAGGCATTCTCAATCTCAACCTCTACAATGTCAGAAATCACTCAACCACCACACATGATAACAACCCATGCTTTTCTACCGGACCATTCTTTTGTCCCAAACCCCATTACTCTCGATGACGTAAACGGACGGGACAGAGATTAATTAAGAGGAACCTTAAATACATACGGAAGTTCTCCAGGAACTATCCAAACGATGTTGCGAGAGATTTCTTAGTAGCCCCTTCAAAGGAGGAGAAACCCGTGCCCGACCATAACTAAGACGACGGTGGCCAGGACTTCTAAGCCTTACCAAGGGAAACCTGAGTGCTGAGAAACCCTCGACATCATCATCCAAAGCAACCGAGGGTAGAGTACTGTCGAAGTCAGCTCGACTGAGAGCCGGTGCTTGCGACAGCTGGGTAAAGAACTGCGGCGTTGCATCTCCGGAAGCCAAAACTCTGACACAGAAGACAATTATGTCCTCGGATTCGAATATTTTCCAATTTAATTTGAATTTATGTATTTTGAGTTGATAGAACAAGCCACTTTGAAAAAAAAGAATGAGGTCCTCGGATTCGAATATATTCCAACTTAATTTGAATTTATTTTACAAAATATATATTTTGAGAAAAAAATTGTAATCAGTTGGTAGCAATGCCCTACCTTGGGCATATATTTAAATTATTTAATCCAGAACCGGATTGGTATTATATTAATACCTGCAAAATTAAATCCACTCTTTGATTTGCTCGAAATTTTGTGCGTAACTGAGATAATTTCAAATACAACACTGTTTTGGACTAAAAAATGCAACTCTTGACCTAATAGTACTACTGCATTTAATATCAATATATGGCAACGCTTTATGTTTGTCATTTTATTTATTCCTTTCCAATGTGTGTGTACAGTACAAATTTCATGCATAAACCTAAACTGTACATACTTGTTATGGGCGCCATCTGTTTGTCAATATATAAAGTGCTCATGTGTGAGGGAAATAAAAATTCCCTTATAGGAAATTTATATATTTCCCCTTCGTATCATTTTCAACGGTAATTGGAATTTCACAAATAATTTTTTTCAAACATTTCCCACAAATAAAAAAACACACATTTTTTTTAGTTTTTACATTTTTTTATTTATTAACAAATTTCCTTTTCTTTTTTAAATTTATTTTCTCATTTTCATTTGTCTCATATACTTTACTAAATTTTTAAAATTTAATGCTATTTAATATATATTGTTTTTTTCTCATTTCTTTTTGTAGTAATTCTAAAAAAACGAAAGGAAGCACAGATTCGCTTTAAAAAATATGTTTCATTTTTTTAAAATTTTATATAATTTGTTTTTAAAAAAACATTTATTTGTGATGACATAAATATTGCAATTGAAATTAAAGATAGAAATAAAGAGATTTGCTTAAGGGAGAGAGATAGAAAAAATTACCCCTTGGAGAGAGAGAACAAAAACAATTTAAAGTGGTTTAAAGAAAAGCTAGGCTTTTACTTTTACGAAAGCTGTTCAATCAAATGGAAGAAAATAAAATAATTATTAAATGCTGTTAGTTGTTCTCCTTAACAAAATGTTGGCTCCTAGTTTGGGTTCTCTTTCACTTTCTCTCTTTACACAGAAAAAAATTAAAGTGATGTTTTTTGGATAATATAAAATTATAATATTTAATCATAATACAATAATAATAGTAAGAATAAAAAAATAATAATTATTAATTAGAAAAAAACAAAAAATAGAAATACTATAAAAATATTTTGTTTAAATAATATAAAAGTGTTTTTTTAAAGGAATGTTTAATTTTCTTGTTTTCTTCTTTAGAGATTACAAATACAAACTTAATAAAAAGTTGTTGTTAAAACTTAATAAGACACATATATTTAATAATAATATATATTTATATAAAAATGTAATGAATTTAATTGTTTTTGTTTTTTATAAAGTAATAGCTATATATATTTAAAAAAAGAATATATAAATTTTTGTTTGTTTTATTTTATATTTATATAAAAAATTCACAACTTTAAATAATAGTTATTGCTTTGTTTGTTTTTTATAAAAAAAGAAGAAAAAAATTAAAAACAACAAATTGAAACAGAGTTTTTTTAAGGGGAAAATAGTTTTTTTCTGATTTAATATTAGAAACAAGTATTGAAAACAAATTAAAAATTGGTTGTTTTTAATAATATCGAGAGTTTGTGCAATGTGGAAAGGGGTTCGTTCTTATTTCAAAAATATTGAACATTTATTGTGTGATGGCTTAATATGTGATGTATTATTTTATGGTTAAATTGGTCTGGTTTGAATCAAAATTTTAAAATTTGAAAGATTTTGTTGAAAATTACACATTTTTCTTTTTTCACTTAACCAAATATTTTTCTCAATTTTTTTTTGTTGAAAGTTGTTAATTTAAATTGGATTTTGGTTAAATAGTCTACAATTTTCTGTAATGAATATTTATTGAAATAATTTCGAGCTTAAAAAAGGGGTTTTGTTGAAGATTACACAACAATTTTAATTTTGTTGAATTTTTAAATTAAAGAAAATGTAGATTTTTGATGAACAGTTCACTTTTTTTGTGTAAATCGGTGTTATTGGCAGTGGATAAAAATTCCAGGACGAAAGAAACATTTTGTTGAAAATTGCCAATTTTTTCGTTTAAATGAGAAAAACAAAATTCTTACACATTTTTCGTTTTTCGAGATGAAAATAAAATTTTTGTTCATCAAATTATTTTGTTATAGTTTGAATAAAAAAATTTCATCATTTCTTGCCGAAAAAATATTTGTTGAAAATTCAACATTTTCTTGTAAGTGAAGATTTTTGTTGGAAAATTTGCATTATTTTAAATAAGTGTAATTAGTTTTTCTGAAAAAAAAATTCAAAATTTTTCTTTAAATGAAGATCTACATTTTCCAAAATTCAACAAAAATATAACCATGTTTAATTTTTTCTCTTATCCCGGCTTCACTTTTTGCGGACTCTGACTCTCAAACTGAATATAAAATTTAAAAATAATTTTTCAAAAACAACCCTCTCCATTTCTAGTCGAAAAAAATATTTGTTGAAAATTCAACATTTTCTTGTAAGGACAAATTTTTTTGTTGTTTTTTGCGGACTCTGACTCTCAAACTGAATATAAAATTTAAAAATAATTTTTCAAAAACAACCCTCTCCATTTCTAGCCGAAAAAAATGTTTGTTGAAAATTCAACATTTTCTTGTAAGGACAAATTTTGTTGGAATTTCAATAAATCAAAAATTCAACAAAACTAGAAACATGTTTGATATTTTCTCTTGACCCGGATTCATTATATGTGGACTCTAATTGAAGGCCACTGAATAGGAAATTTTAAAATAATATTTAAAAAAAACCCTTTCCTCTATCATTGTACAAGTTTGCTGTTGTTGTATGTGTTTTTGTTGTTGTTCAATAATAATAATTTATAAAAAATCTAAATTCTAATATGTCATAACAAAATTGTTTGGATTTTCCAGAAAAAGCTTTTGTTTTTTTGTTCATCAATTATTTAACTGTCATCATCGTTTAACAAATTAAAAAAAATTGCAATAATTTTAACTACAAAATCATCTTTACATAGCTGCTAGTTTTTTTCTTGTAGGTAAATTTTCTGTTTTTTTTTTTGCATTTTGATTTCTCCATTTTTTTATAAAAAATATATAAAATATTTAGAAAACTATTTCTTTTCCATTCTTTTTTACATACAATTTTAATAGCATTTGCATTTTCTAGTTTTTGTTTTGTTTTACTCTGCATTTCGTTTTTTTTTTCATTTTTTACAAAATACACAAAAATGTCTTCACTATATAGGGATTCCGTTTTTTTGTTTTGTTTTTTAAATATTGTCTTTTTTCATTTAATTTAATAATTAATAAATATATATTTATTTATGTATGTATAATGTGATATCTCTTTACGAAAAAAAAATAAAAAACGATTAACTCCCGAAAAAATTCTCTCTCTTTCTCTAATAAAGTATAATACAGGATAAGAGAGTTACCACATGGGAGTGTCTAATCAGCATCTCTCTGTGTTTATTTTGTGTTAGTGTATGTATGTATATGTGTGTGTTGTAAACTCAAACTTTAAGTTCAATTAAATTTTTGTTGTTGTTTTTTGTTTGTTATACATCAAAGATATGTTTTTGGATTTTTGTTGTTTGTTTGTTTGTCGGGGTTTCCTTACTTCCTTCCCTTTTCCTTTCTTATATAATTTGTTGTTGTTTTTTGTTTTGTTACCTTACATAGCTATATATTTATATAAAAAAGTATGTATATATAAATAATTTATATAGTTTCTGTTTTGTTTTCTTTTTGACGTTATCTAAGTGTTTGTTTGACATCACCGTTTGCTGTGATTTTTTGTTGTTGTTGTTGTTCTAGTTGTTCCTGTTGGTTTCTTATAGTGGCTGCAATAGTAGTTGTTGTTGATGTTGTTATTATTATTATTGTTGTTGTTCACGCTGTGTTAAATTAAATTTAGATTTGTTCTTTTTATCGTAGTTGTTCCACAGGTTGTTAGTGTTATTGTTGTTGCCGTAGCTAATATCTGATGTTAGGGTCTATATCAGCATTCAGACTTATCTTCTTCCACCAAATATTGGGTATCTTTGCCATTATCGGCGGATGGATCTAATTCGCGTGTTCTTAATTGTAGTTGCGGTGAGGATTTGTGCGTTATACTGCTAGGTGCTAAAATGGCCGATACTGGTTCCGTAAATGGACCGATGGGTTTTGTTTTGGAGGGATCGTGTGGCACTTCGTAAATTCCTAAGGGGAAAAACAAGAAAATAAATATTAAAAAAAAATAAATTTAAAGAAGTAAAAATGCCGCCAAAATCGTCCTGGCCGAACTTTTTATAACTTTTCAACATGAGGTGGACTTCGGGACTTTTATATATGGCGGGTTATGATGTGATAAAATATCTATAGGAAGGTTTGACACACAATGAGAAACAAATTTCGGCCAATTCGGTTGGAAAACGAGCCCAAAATCCCCAAAATATCGTTATATGGGGGCTATTTTAAAAAGTGGACTGATATCGACAAATTTTAGTAGAAAGATTTGCTACCCAATGGAAACTCAAAGTACCAAATTACAGCAAATTCGGATGAAAAAAGTGTCGAATCTCCCCAAAATATCGAAATTTGGGAGATACGGTTATATGGGGGCTATCCTTATAAATGGACTAATATTGATGGTTTTTGGTAGGAAGATGTATTACCCTATGAGAACCAAAAATACCAAACTACAAAAAATTCGGTTGAAAACTGTGCGAAAAATTTAAAAAATACTGAATATTTGGGGGTATCGTTATATGGGGGCTATACCAAAACATTGGCCAATTTCAATAATTTTTGGTAGTAAGATTTGACACCCAATAAATATTCAAAATACCAAATTACATCCAATTCGGTTTAAAATTGAGTCCAAGCTCCTCAAAATAGCGAATAATTGGAGGTACCACCATATGGGGACTATCCTCAAAAGTGGATCGACATCAATAATTTCTGGTAGGGAGATTTACTATCCAATGGAAATTCAAAATACAAAATTACAGCCAATTCGGATGAAAAAAGTGTGGAATCTCCTCAAAATATCGAAATTTGGGAGATACCGTTAAAAGAGATCTATCCTTTAAAATCGACCGATATTGATGGTTTTTTGGAAGAAGATGTATTACCCTATGAGAACCAAAAATATCAAACTACAGCCAATTCGGTTGAAAACTGTACGAAAAACCTCTAAAATACCGACTTTAGGAGGTACTGTTATATGGGAACTATCCACTAAAATGATCCGATATCTTTAATTTTTGGTAGTAAGATATCAACCAATTCGGATGAGAAACGTGCCTAAACATCCCGAAATACCGAATAATGGGGGTACCGTTATATTGGGGGCTATCCTAAAAAAGATAACAATATTGATGGTTTTAGGTAGGATGATGTATTATCCTATGAGAACCCAAAATTCCAAATTAAAGCCATATATATATATATATATATATATAATTTCTCAACTTACCTGATCCATTGCTTATGCTTGGATCCGTTGTACCCGATTGTACGGCATCGTACATGGGATTGGAGAAATCACGGGTCTTACCCGCATTCACCGTTTGTAGATTGTAGCCTTCCAAGGGGGCAACATCCGTTGAGGTACCAACCGGCGCTGTGGGTCCTGGGAAGCCGGGGGCATTAAATTCCACATTTGTACCCTGGCGGAAGGTAACACTTTGCGATGAGGTTAAGGTGGGTAGGCGGGCCAATTTTCCACTAAAAATAAATCAAAAAAATTAACACCTTTTCCAAAAATTTGGATTCCACTTCGAATTTCTACTTACAATGGCTTCTTGCGTATGACAAACCACACACCACCGGCTGCCAGCAGCACCAATAAAATCACCATAATGGGCACCACAACCGCGGTGACATTAGCACCACCATGACCAAACATACCGGCAGCATTTTGTTCGCAGTGATCACCCTTGAAATCGGCCAAGCATTCACACATCAATTCTCCGTTGTTATCCTCGACACAGAAGCCACCATTCTGGCAGGGGCAAATGCGTGGAGCGGGACGGGGACGTTCAGCAGCAGCATCACAAATAACCTCAACAGTGCTGCGATGTGATGGTAAAGCTCCTGAACTATCAGGGCAAGCACAACGATGTCCACCCGGTACCAAGAGACACAAATGTGAACAGCTCGAACCAAAGCAGGGATCTTTCAGACTGGTGTTATAACGTTTCTCGTGATAAATTTTCAAGCCCGATGGGTTCACCAAATTACGATGTACCGAAACTTGAACGCCACGACCGAATTTATCTTGTTTTAGAAGTTCTCCTGTGTCACGTGTTACCCAATACATATTTGATTCGAAAATGTCCAAAGAAACTGGGTGTCTTAATTGATCTCCCTTGACCACGGTTTTGCGTCCCGAACCATCAGGTTTCATGGATTCGATGGTGTTTAGTTTGGTATCAACCCAATAGATGACATGATCCTGAGCATAATCAATGGTCAAACCGGCTGGATGTCTAATGGCCTCGGTAATAATAGGACGGCGTTTTGAACCATCCATCCAGGATACTTCGATTTTGGGTGCCGAACCAGCATCAGACCAGTAAATGCGTCCGAGTTGGGGATTGACAGCAATGGATGTGGGTACCTCTAGTCCGGCATTAACAATAGATCTCCTATAACGGCCATCAGTGGTGGCAACCATAACACGGCCACGAGGTTTGGATCCGGTTCTATCAACCTCAGCCCAATAGAGATTATTGGCCAGCCAATCCACCGCAACAGCAGTCGGCTTCGAACCTCCCTTCATATTCAAATCCTGGGCAAATCCGATTCTTGCCTGACCATCCACAGCATTGACCATGTATGAACGTTTAATGGTCTTATCATAACTATCGGCCCAGAAGACAATCTGCTGTTCGGCATGATAATCCAAAGCCTCAATACGTTTCTCCGAGAGGATCACATCAAACTCCTCCTTCTTTTGTAAATCTAAAGCTCGAATCTCGGGACCATTTGAGAATATCACCACGACATCTTCCTTCTCGGCTTTGCAGACACCCGAAGTGCTATCTACCAAACGGAAACCATCACGGCAGGAACAGGAGTAGGTTCCATTCAAATTGTGACATTGATGGGAGCAGGTATGTTGTCTAGTGGCACACTCATCCACATCGATACATTTCTTTTTATTATCCGTCGAGATAATATAACCCGGATAACAGGCACAAATGTATCCACCATCTGTCAAATTGTGGCAATGATGCTGACAACCACCTCGGGTGTCATCCAAACAGCTGAGATTATGATGGCAACCCAGTTCATCGGAGGCATCGCCACAATCATCGGAGTAATCACAAACCTGGGCACGATCTATACAATTCTTATTGGCACATTGATATTGGGTATACAGATCACAAGGTTTAACCTTGGAGGCACAAATGGTCATGTTATTCTCATCCGAACCATCTCCGCAATTATCCACACCATCACAAATCTGATAACGGGCCACACAACGATGATTGTCACACTGGAAGCGACGCAGGGTATCACAATTGAAATCGGAGCACACCTTGGGATCTTCATCCGAACCATCACCACAATCATCAGTGCCATCACAAAGATCCGATGGGGAAACACACAAATTGTTGGAGCATTGGAATCTCGACTCAGGACAATAACGGCCACCGGGGAATCTCGGTGGGCAACCCATTTCATCGGACATATCACGACAATCACGGTCACCATCACAACGGAAGTACGAGGCAATACAATGACCCGAGGCACATTGGAAGGTGCCATTCTTACATTGGAAGCCTTCACAGTTCAATTCATCCGAGTTATCACCGCAGTCATCTTCATGATCACACTGCCAGCGTGACGAGATGCATTTGCCATTACCGCAACGGAATTCCGATTCGGAACATTCACGATATTTGCCCTTGCAAATTGCATCATTTTCATCCGAACCATCACCGCAATCATCGGCAAAGTCACACATCCATTGTCTGGAAGAGAAAGAAATTTGGAGGTTAGGAAGGATTTAAAACAAAAATTATAGTGTGTCCCATCCCAGCGATACTTACTTAGGTATACATCTATTGTTGCCACACTTGAAATCAGTTTCCGTATTACACGATGGACAGTTCTCAGGAAGTTCATCACTATTGTCCCGACAATCATCCTTACCATCACAGAACAACCATTTGGGTATGCAACGATAATTCGATTGTCCTGGACATCTTTGCCAGCCGGTGGTACAGTTGCGTTGGCGACACATATAGGCCGGTTCATCCGAATCATCACCACAATCATTATCGAAATCACACATCCACAATTTGGGTATACAGCGGCCATTTTTACAGCTGAATTCGGTATCGGGATCACAGACACGTTTATCTGGAAGATAAAAATGTGAGATTAAAAAATTGGAATGAAATCTTGTTGATCTAGAAGTGGTCTTCTGAAGAAGTGGAATTCAGAAAACTGGTGTCCGACTTTTTTCTCTATTGAAAAGAGGAACTCAGAACTGAGGTCCGAATTTTTTCTATAGAAAAAACTATCTCAGAACTAAGGTCCGATTTTTTTCTATAGAAAAAAAATACCTCAGAACTGAGGTCAGATTTTTTTTAGAAAAAAAAATTACCTCATAATTAAGGTCAAAATTTTTTGTAAAGAAAAAAGGACCTCAGAACTGAGGTCCGAATTTTTTCCTATAACAAAAAGATCTCAGGACTGATGTCCAAAATTTTTTCTTCTGAAAAAGAGCCTCAGAATTGAGGTCCGAATTTTTTATACAGAAAAAGACTTCAGATCTGAGGTCCGATTTTTTTCTATAGAAAAAAAAAAACAACCTCAGAGATCTGAGGTCCGATTTTTTTTCTATAAAAAAAACAACCTCAGAGAACTGAGGTCCGATTTTTTTTCTATAGACTGAGTTTCGAATTTTTTCTATAGGAGAAAAAGAACCTCAGAGAACTGAGGTCCGAATTTTTTTCTATAGAAAAAAAAAAATATCTCAGAGAATTGAGGTCGGATTTTTTCTATAGAAAAAATACTTCCTTTGAACTGAGGTCCACAATTTTTTACATAGAGAAGATACCTCAGAACTGAGGACTGTTATTTTATTTAATATTTAGAATTATACTTACTGCACACAGCTGGATCTTCATCGGAACCATCCTTACAATCAGCATCACCATCACAACGCCAACTATCCAAAATACAACGGCCACTAGATTTACATTTGAAGTCCGAATCGGGGCAGGGTAAATCACAATTTTGTTCATCGGAACCATCTCCACAGTCGTCGATACCATCACAAATGGTGGCCGAAGGTGTGCAATTGGTATTCTTACATTGGAAGGTGCCGGCACGACAATGACGCTGCGGACAGGTCGTTGGCTCATCGGAACCATCCTTACAATCCTTTTCACCATCACATTTCCAGAACCATGGTATACACTTTTCATCATCACCACCACAACGATGTTGTCCGGTGGTACAATTAGCAATACAGGTCTTACTATCCCTGGCCAAATAGAATTGATTGGGACAGGCACATTTATAGCCGGGAGCACCTTCTTCAATATAACCTTCAATGTTGAGATATGTCGATTCTGGGGGTGGGGAAATCAAGCAGAGATGGGAGCAACCACCATTGTTGGTACCACATGGATTGTTGTAAGGGATTTGCCTTAGCGGGTGGTTGATGTGGATATCATACGGACGATGTGTGGTGTTACGCAGTACCGTAAAGTTAGCACCGGTGAATTTATTTGCCCTGGCAATGGCCTTCAAATTCCAATCACTCCAATACAAATGATCATCGAACAGGGAAATGGCAAAGACGTGGGGAACCTTAGCACCTGATAACACTATATGGCGATGACGTCCCTCCAAATCGGCATAGGCAATATAATCTAAATGAGCATCAGCCCAGTAGATACGATCGGTAAAGTAATCAATGGCCAAGGCATTTGGCCAAGCAATGTCATTTTCCCATGTCAAGATGCGGGTAAAGTTCGATCCATCCATACCCATTTTGGCAATGTAGGCCTGTAAATGCCATGAGGTGAAGTATAGGAAACCAATACCCGGATGTACAACAATAGCGCGGGGATCTACAACACCACTTCGCAGGGTCTTGCGTTTCGTACCATCCAATTCGGCAACATCCAGATTCTTCGAATGTCTATCCAACCAATAGAGTTTACGTCCAACCCAATCGATGGCAATGCCTTCCAAACCATGTGAATCGTGGCGGATCACAGCTTCACGAGTGGGTTTCTCACTTGGATCGGTATATTTGGAACGGAATATGGTCTTGGCAGTAACATCACAGAAATACATATACTCTTCCTTGATATCGAAGTCTAATGCAACAACATTCATAAGGTCCTGATGCATCAGATTATATTGATGACCATCGATAGACATATTGCGGACGTAGTATTTGTTGGTGAAGATCAACCAGGCAGAGGTATTATCTTTACGTTTGCAGGTGTGTTCATCAAGCTGACGTTCATAATAACGTTCATCACATTTACAATAATAACTACCGGGGGTATTCGAACAATGTTGCGAACAGGCACCGGGCAGTTCAATACACTCGTCGATATCAGCACAAGCTTTGCCATCGGCCAGGAGTCTAAAAGGCAGAAGTGAAGAAGAAGGGTAAATTAAAAATAATTTTTATAAAAAAGACCAGAAGTATTTATATGGACCTAAGGACATTTTTTAGAAAAAAATATCTTTTCAGATCTAAGAAATATTTTGTTTTTGTTCCGAATACTTACTTATAACCCTGATTACAATCACAATAGTAGCTCGTCGGCGTATCCACACATTTGTGACCACATTGATTTATCTCCACTTTGGCACATTCATCCACATTACAATGTGCCGGTTCATCCGAATCATCGGAACAATCCGAAATCTTATTACACACTAATGACATATCAATACATTGACCATTGGCACAGGTGAATTGTCCCGTTGCACATGTTGAATTATCCTTCTTACAGCCGACTTCGTCCGAATGATCACCACAATCATCTTCACCATCACAACGATACTGATTGCGTATACATTTAAAGTTCTGACAGGTGAATTCTTGATCGGAACAGGTCTTGTATTTCGAGTTACAGAATTTACCCTCATCCGAACCGTCACCGCAATCGTTGTCGTGATCACACACCCAACCCTGGGGAAAATTGAAAAGAAAAATATTTTTTATTAGAAATTATGGGAAAGGAAAAAATCCGACCTCACTTCGATGAGATATTTTTTATAGAAAAAAAATCCGACCTCACTTCGATGAGATATTTTTTATAGAAAAAAATTCGACCTCAGCTATGAGGTATTATTTTTCTTCTAAAAAATCCGACCTCAGTTCTGAGGTATATTTTCGAGCTCCTTACCTTATTAATACACCTTCCATTGCCGCACGTAAACATATCCTCTCCACATGGCTGCTGGGTGGCGCAATTATGCAGCGTGACATTTTCATCAGCACCATCCACACAATCTGGATCACCATCACAAATCCATTTCTTGGGTATACATTGAGCTCGACCCCATGATTTATTTTCCACACAAGTAAATTCGGTTTCCTCATCACATTTACGCTCATCTAAAAGGAAATTAAATTTTTAATTAATTCTGTCTTCCCGAACATCTTCTCCTTCAACTTACTGCACTGATGTCGATTATCCTCATCGGAGTTATCCAGACAATCATTATCACCATCACAGATATAAATTCTCGGTATACAATTGCCATTATCACAGGTGAAGAGATCTCCGAAGCATGTCCTGCCCTCGGATTTACAATATTCTGGTGGTTCATCGGCACCATCACCACAATCATCATCACCATCACAATACCAGGTGGCTGGGATGCAACGATGGTTGGGACAACGGAAGCTGTTGGCGGGACAAGTTCTCTGACCACAGTGTAGAGGATCTTCATCGGAGTTATCACCGCAATCATTGTCGCCGTCACACAGCCAATAGGGTTCCACACAAATGTTGGTCTTTTCACATTTCAAATGATTGGCGGGGCAGGTAGTATTGGTGGGACATCTTTCATGGGTCTCATCCGAGGTGGCATTATCTTTGCAATCATTAACACCATTACAAACCTGAGACATGGGTATACAACGCCCATTGCCACAGGTGAATTCTCCATCAACACAGGGTGGATAGGTACAGTCCACTTCGTCGGAACCATCCTTACAATCATTTTCATGATCACATTTCCAGCTCTTGAAAATACAGCGGCCATTATTACAACGGAACTCGTTGGGGGAACAGGAATGATAGGCACAGTAGTTGGGATCTTCATCGGAATTATCACCGCAATCATCATCACCATCACAGGACCACATTCGCGATATACATTTACCATTTTGACAATAGAATTTGCTGGCCTCACAGGTATTGTTGCGTGGAGCACACATGCGACCCTCATTTACGACCTTGGAATTATCATCACATTTACATTCAGCCTTGCCATTGGGCGCCGGATGACATGATTGAGCACAACCACCATTATTTATCAAGCAAGGATTGACACTACATTTTTGCCTCTCGGCACTGAAGACCCTTATGTCACGTGGTGAATCTTCCAAACGCTTAACCATTTCAATCATATTGGCACCGGTATGTTTCTCCGCCCTGTAGACACCTCTCAGCTGCAAGTCCGTCCAGTAGATATAATTACGGAACACGGTAATGGAGAAGGGATAGATTGTGGCTGCAACTAACAGTTCACGATTTTTACCATCCAAATCGGCTCGTTCAATTTTCTCACGCACAGCATCGGTCCAGTACAGCTTCCTTTCATCGTAATCGATGGCCAAACCACTGGGTTGTGATAGATCCTTATCAACTATGGCCCGCTTCAGCGATCCTGCCATTGTGGTCTTGAAAATTTTACCCGAAGTGCCAAATCTACCCCAATCGGTAAAGTACAAGGTACCATTACAAGGATCCAAAACAATGGCTCGAGGTCTTTCCACCCTGGCAATCATAACCAAATCACTACCATCCAAATTCATGGCATATATGGAATTATTAGAACTATCAGTCCAATAGATTTTATTTTGGGTCCAATCATACGAAATACCCTCCGGATTTATACCCTTGCTGAGAACGACTTCCACATCATTAATGCTAGGCTTATCAGCCTTGGTGTAGGCAATTTTAGCCCATGGACGGATTTGTGTATAGAACATATGATTATCGTGGTAATCGAAGTCCAAACCCACAACATTTGTGAGATTTGTCATGGGGGCGAAGGGTATCTGTGTCGAACGAGGATCCAAATTAACGGCACGAATTTCTGTCCTGGTGGCAAATACCAAATACTCATTGACGGTTTCACATTTCCTTTCATCATTGGCCAATTTTCCTGTGGCACAGTCACAACGATAGCTGAGGCGGGAAGGATTGGCGGCATCTGTGGGGAAGCTGAAGCACAACTGGTCACAGCCACCATTGCCAAGTCGCATGCAGGGGTTACTTTCATCTTGTGGTTGATTGTTGATACTGTAAATGGCAATGTCGCGTAGCTTGGGTAGGTTGGTCCTCACCTTGGTGGGCATGGTATTGTTGCCGGGCAATTTCGAGGCCTTAAACACTGTCATGAGATTACGATCTACCCAGTAAACCTCTCCCAAGTGGATGGCAATACCCATGGGGTTGGGTAAATTCCTTCGTATAATTTGCCTATTTCCTCCAGAGTAGGAAATCTTTTGTATCGTATCCAATTTGGAGTCCACCCAATATACATCATGGGTCAACATATCCACTGTCAAATCACGAGGATTGGAAATACCCGACGTCACCACAGGTATCCATTTGCTGCCATCCAAGTAAGCCTTGCCAATGCGAGGATATTGTCCATAATCAATCCAGTACAGGAGACGTTTAATCGGATTCACTGCCAATTCTCGAGGAGCATCATTAGTGGTCTTAACCAATACCTTACGATGGCTACCATCCAGCCAGCATACCTCTACATAATTCTCATGAGGATAAACATTGGTGAAATACAAATTTCCAGCCACCCAATCAATGGTCAGACCTCGTATACCATTACTGCCGATACCATCTTTAATAATATGCTCCAATTCGGTACCATTGGGCCGGGTACGGAAGATACCACTCCAATAGCCACGATTATATTCAGCCCAGTAAATCCATTGCTCACGGAAGAGAACATCCACATGGAGGATATGATGTCCGGTACCACTAATGGGTACCATGGCTTCCGAACTATCCGATAAACTGTAGCCACGTGTAACATCGAGCTGTGAGACCACAGCAAACGTCTTATAGGCCACACAATTGATATCATTCTCTTTGCGATATCCAATACCACAGGCACAGGTCTTTGAGGCACCATCATCGGGTATACAAATATGTTCGCAACCTCCATTGTTGGTTTGGCAGGGGTGCTGCATCATCGGACGTTTCTTATAGATCATCATGCTCTTCAGTTCCGGTTCATTGTCAACAATTACTTTCGGGTTATCACCACGTGGCAGATCCACCCTGACAATATTCTCATAGGTGGGATCGAGGAAATACAACCTGGAATCCAAGACACCCAAACTGCGGGGTTTCGCGATGGCATTTTCCTCCGTGAGAAGTATACGGAAATCATCACCATTGTAGTCCATAACACAAATTGTGGCCGGGAACTGTGTGGAATAGTACACCTGTTTCTTATCAATATCCAGGGTAATACTCTCAGGTCTATCGATATCTTCCTTCAACACGACCGGACTGTGACCATTCATATTAACGCGGCCAATTTTTACCGGTACACCAAAACCACCTTCATCGATCCAAAACAGTTTTCCCTCATTGGGATCGAGGACAATTTGTTTGGGTTTTGACACGGAGGTACGATTTCCATCATTGGCCAGGATAATGGTACGATATTTAATTTTTCCATCGACACGAACCGCTTCAATATTACTGGCAATACGATTACCCATATACAGGTTACGACCCAACCAGTCAAATGCAATGGTGTAGGGAGCTCCAACAATACCGGTATCCAAACCCAAAAATTGCGTCTTATTACCGCCACCATAGGGTGTGGTGAAAATGGTGCAGTTTTCATCATCATATTCACGTCCCTGAATCCAATACAATGTCTCACCCTTGCGATCAAAGTCCAAGCCGGTACTACTTTCAATACCAATGACGGGAGCCAAAGACCCAGCTCGAGCATCACCACCATTCAATGGAATATCCACAATTTGTGTACCCTTGACAACCATCAGGAATGGATTCTCTTCCTCCACACAGCGACCTTCGCTCAGCAGACGATAGCCAGGTTTACATTTACACGAGTAGCCCTCACTGGCCGAGGGACTTAGCAGACACAAATGTTGACACTTCGAATTCTCACAAGGATTTGGATGCAATGGTTGCAGCGAAGGATGATGGACATGTATCGACAAAGGTTGACTGATCAAGTGGGACACCACAGTTTGATTGTGGCCACGGAATTTATTTGCCGATAAGACACGATTCAATTGACGATCGGTCCAATACAGCGTATCCTCGAACAACGACAACGAATGGGGATGTAATAAATAATGGCTACCGGCCAACACCTGCTGTCTTCCCGTACCATTGTAGTAACAGAAATCGATGAAATCCAATTTCGAATCCGCAAAGTACACCCTCTTCGTAGCGGTATCCAAAGTCAAACCATTCGGCCAATAGATTTTCGTATTGATAATTGTTTCACGCATTGTACCATCCATACCGATACGTTCGATGCGTGGATTTTCACCCCAATCAGTCCAGAAAATAAATCTAGCACCAGGGCTGGGATCGATGCACATTCCACGAGGTTGGGTGATATTTTCGCGTACCAAAACCAAACGATTTGAACCATTCTCTGCGGAGACCTCAATCGTATTCAGCTTACTATCCAACCAATAGAGATTCTTGGCAATCCAATCATAGGCCAAGCCTTCGACCAAATCCAAGCCCGTTGTAATTATCTCCTGAGGATCTGAACCACGATCTAAACGTGAGATCTTTTTCAATTTCATATCACTCCAGAATATGGTGCCTGTGTGCATATTTGAGGCAGTAGCCACAACATTTTCCACATAGATGGGTACTCTCTCTAAGCCTTGGTCCTTCAAATCTGCCACCAAAATCGAATGGCGATTGGAAATAATCAAAAAGGCGGCGGTGTGATTGACTGCCTTGCAACGATGCTTATCGGGTTCCAAAATATAACCATCAACACAGGAACAGAAGTAGGAACCTTTGGTGTTTGTACACATCTGAGAACACAGGCCGGGTGGATCACATTCATTGGTATCAACACAGGTGTATTTATCTTCGCCAATCTCCGAGCCAGGTGGGCAAACACAAGTGGCGCCCAACGGTGTCTTTTGACAACCATTAGAACAGAGACCCGATTGATGTTCACATTCTGCCAAATCACAACCTTCGCCTTCATCAGCACCATTGGGACAGTCGGGAGTACCATCACACACTGAGGTCGTGTTTACACAACGATTGGTTACTCCAGGACACTGCCATTGACCGTGGGGACACTTGAAGGGTGGTGGTACACAGGCATGCATTGAGCTCTCATCCGAACCATCACCACAATCATCTTTACCATCACAAATATAGGCTTTGAACACACAATTGCTGTTATTACACTTGAAGAAGTTCGGAGCACAGGTTATCTGACCACAATCCTCTTCATCTGAATGATCGGAACAATCATTTGAACCATCGCAATGCCAAGCGATGGGTATACAAAAACCGGAACTTTTACATCTGAAATGTTTCTCCAAATTACATTGGTTGGGGCCCATTGAGGGACAGCCCAGTTCATCACTGCCATCATTACAGTCGGGAATGCCATCACATTTATACGATTCCTCGACGCATTGCCTCAAATCCGCACACTTAAATTGATTTGCCAAACATGTAATGGGAGGACAATCTTTCTCATCCTGTTTATCGAAACAATCATCATCACCATCACAAACCCAACTTTGTGGTATACAGTGGCCAGTTCGGGGACAGGTGAATTGGAAATAGGCACAGGTCTTTTCGGCACAGAAGTCACCCTCATCCGAACCATCACCACAATCATTTTCGCTATCACATTTCCACATGTTCGGTATACAGCGGCCATTGGCGCAGGCGAATTGTGCTGTGCCACAGGTCACGTTGCCACATTCGAATTCATCGGAATTGTCGCCACAGTCATTTTCCTGATCACAGCGGAAATTCAGAGGTATACAGCGTCCGGATTTGCATTGGAATTCATTGGAGCCGCAGGTGGGTTCTGGAGAAGAAAAAGAGGAAGAAAAAAAGGATTTATAAATTTCAATTCAATATCTGAAAAATATTGAGAACTTCGGAAAATTATCCTCCCACTTACTTGTACAATTCTGCTCCTCATCACTGTTGTCCAGACAATCATCATCGCCATCGCATACCCAGGACTTGGGTATACACCTCTGATTGTTACAGGTGAAATCCCAGGAATTGGGACACGGCTGGACTGGGGGTTCTGCACTTTCATCTACCACACATGATACCTGATCGTCGGCCAATCGTTCACCATAGGGACATGAGCATTTAGCCTGCAATACTCCAGTATCATTTGCCGGCACCGCAAAACATATTTTCTCACATTTGCCATTATCCAAATGACAAGGCTGGGCATCCGAGACCGTTTGGACATCATGGCTATAAACTTTCACACCATACAGCCGATTCGTTTGAGGTTCGCGAACCATCATCTCCTCCTGTTCACCGGTCAATTTGTGTAACCTGATAATGGCATCTAAACGCCAATCTGTGATATACATCCAATCATTGTGTATCACAATCGAGAAGGGATGACGCACCAGTCGGGAATTGACAGTTTTAATATCCGTACCATCCAATTTCGAATGTTGAACATGATCAAGCAGGGCATCACACCAATAGACACGATCTTCTTTGAAATCAATGGACAAACCATTGGGCCAGCCGAGGGTAACATTTTTAAAGACCAGCAAATTCGAACCATCAGTATTCGCACGGGTAATATTGGCCGGACGATCCCATTCGGAGAAGAAAATATAACCCTTATTGGGATGCACCACAATGGCGCGAGGACGTTTCAGATTTTTCAGCAAGGTACGACGATGGGTGACATTGCGAGTAGAGAGCACATTAAGGGTACCTTTGCGGGAATCGATGTAGTAAAGATTCTTCGACACCCAATCTACGGCCAAACCTTCCACACCTTCATTCTGGGAGGCCAAGACAATTTCACGTCCCGTGCCATTACGATGGACACGATAGATAACATCTTGCAGGACATCAGAGTAGTAGATAAATTCATCACGAGCATCAAAGTCCAAGCCGACAAAACGGGCACGACGTGAGACAACCGGCAGGATGGCATCACTGAATCCTTCGATAACTGGTTCCAAAACTTTTCCTTTGATAAATCGCTGTTGCGAATACATTAGGAACTCCTTGACAATTTTACAATTTTTCAAATCCGATTGCAGTTGATATCCTGTGTGACAGGCACAGCGATAACCCAAATGATTGGCTCCCTTGACGGCGGTGACAATGCACATGTGGTTACAACCTCCATTATTGGTGCCGCAGGGATTTGTGGCCTTAGGTTGACTCAGAGCGTGTACAGCCACAATACCCTTAGGTTCGCGTATATCCTTGGCCTTATAGGTCACCTGGATCGAAGTGGGACCAGCATATTTATCCACAGACATAATACCCTGCTTGGTGGCATCTGTCCAGAAGATGCGATTTTCAAACAATGCCAAACGTGATGGACTGGGTACCTGCTGACCCCGCAATACCATAACACGATGATTACCTTCATAGTCGACCGTTTCAATGTAGTCCAATAGGGAATCACACCAGAAGACACGTTTTGAGATGATATCCACAGTGACACCACTGGCCTTATAGGCTGCCTCGGAAACAATAGATCTCACATGGGTACCATCCATATGGGCCTTCAATACCTGGCCACCATCGGCAACAAACATCAAACCCGCCGTGGGATCCAAAGCCAAATCAGCTGGTCCAGTGAGATTGGAACCCAAAACGACAGCATGCCAATTGCCGGTCAATTCGAAGACATCAATTTTTTGTCCCACCAAATCCGCCACATAAATTTTATCACCAACCCAATCAACGGCCAAGGCCACAGGAGCCCATGTTCCGGGTAGTGTTAAATCCAAAGGTTGTATAGCACTGCTAAACACATCTAAAGGTAAACTTTGGACCTTACGTGTCTTGGTATCTGACCAATAGAGGGTGTTACGCTGGTAATGATAAGCCACACCGGAGGCAGCACTGGCATTGGCAATAATACGTGGATCACCACCATGTGAGGACATACGCACCACAGCCCTATCATGGGCAAATATCAATTGTAAATTGTTGGCATCAGGAGCAATACATTTGGCATTATTTATCAGGGTATAACCATGGGTACAGGAACAGGCATAGGATCCTTCGGTATTTGTACACAACTGGTCGCAGTGGCCCCATTCGGAACACTCATCGAAATCCACACATGTACGATTATCGGCAGCCAATGATTGTCCAGGACGGCAATAACAAACACCACCCGTCAACGAGGGACCACATTTATATTCACAACTCAGGGCGGGACATGAAGAGGTAGCTGGAAAACAAAAATTAGCGGAAAAAACAAAACGATCAAATATTCCCGCATTCATCGCTAATCGTATCGCCATTTAATACTTACAACATGCCTCCTCCTCATCACTGCCATCCTCACAGTCACGCTTGCCGTCACACAGCTGTGTTTTCAGTATACATTTGGGGGTGCCATTAACACCGCCTCGCGGACAAAGGAATTTATTATCGGGGCATGCAATCGCTGTACAATTGGCTTCATCACTCTCATCGGCACAATCATGATAACCATCACAATAGAAATTCGAGGGTATACACAGGGCATTGGTACAGCGGAACTGGCCATGATGACACGGTGGGAAATCTGTAAATAAAAAGAGAGGGAGGAGAGTTGGGGGGAGGGTGAGAAAACATGCAAAATTGTGAGAATAATAATAAGGGTCGAAATGGTGGACATTGTTGCTATTTTATTGCAGGGGTATAAACGTGGCAACGTGCTGCAATGCAGGACACACACAAAGGATTTCATATATATTAGGGAGTCTCGAAAAAAAAACTATGGCAGGCCATGAAAAAATATTTTTAAAAAATCCAAGCCGTGGGAAAGCCTTGGTGAGCCTTAAAAAAATATTTCTAAAAATCCACGCCTCTTGGTAAGCCTTGAAAAATAACTAAAATTATGGTAGATTTTCGGAGGACACCCCTAATGTTCATCAATTCCTTCATCCTTTCATGGCTGCTGTTGCCTTTTGTGAATTTTTAAGAAAATGAAGGTGTGCGGAGGCGATGATTGCTGTAAAATATGTTAATGACAGCATTGTCATTACGCATAAAGATCTGCGTACGCAAACACACCTGCATTTTTTTCCAATGGCAGGTGTGACAAGAGACGAGGAGTGGATAAAAATTAAATATTTAATTTGAATTTTCACAGCTGTGTGCATTCTTTGCATAATCACTTTGTAATTGCATCGGAAATTATTAAGAAAATGAAAATACGAAAACGAAACGATGTTGGGTTATGACATTGATTGACATTCAGGGAAGACTCTTGACTGTTGTAATGACAGGGAATTATGTCAACAAGTGCATTTTCCTGTGTCCTTCAATCAAGAGGATACTTGCTGAAGGATGAATACCAATTATTTTATTTAATTTGACTTTGTGGTAATACAAATTATTTTAATTTGAAGGAGAGAAAAGAGGACAAGTGTTCGAAATAAAAAAAGTTTTCTATGGACATTAATGGTGTACACTTTTTCATGCTACAATCTTCCTTTAAGACATATTTTCCACGGGATAACATTTTGAATTTATATTTAGCGTGATTTTAGTTACCTCAGATTGTCCTAGGAGTCTAGGAAATACCAAATCTTCCACATATGTCATTTCTATTTCTTATTTCCCCCTTACATTCCGATTAACAATTATGTTAAGTGCCACTTTGGTGCGTATACGTGCTGTCACAATGTATACGCCACCTTCTACCACCTATCCATCATCAAAGGGAATTTCCATTATTTAAGCTGACGAGTGACATATCAATAATTTAACTTAATGGATTACAAACGAAAATTTTGACATTTCAATTTGTTTTGAAAAGTGTAAAGATAGTCACAAAGTATTTAACTCAAAATGCTGTGCTGTCACAACCAATAAAATCCTTTAGGCTCTATAATCCATGCGTATAATTTATATATCAAAATAGTGTTTTTTGGCATATGATTTATTTGTGAAAACTAATGTGCCATTTACAAAACAACAATAAAATTATTATCCTTTAATCGTGATATAAATCAAAGCTTTTCGGTTATGTGTGGGAAATTGTTATTAATGATAATAATTTACTATGACTATTATGAATATATGTGTTGGAGACATTTAGTTAATGATAATTAGTTCGATTTATATTCCTTTTTGTAATTATGACACGCACACAAAGGTATTGTGGTTTATTTAATATATGCAATAATTTATTTTTAGGTAGGTTAGGCAAGATTATGGTGGGAGGGAGCAAAAGCTAAAAATGGAAATAATTACCTCCGGTATTCAGACAAAGGTTCGATATATCACAAGAAATATTTGGGAATTTAATTAGGAATATTTTAGGATTTTTTACCAAAAACCACCGATTGGCTTTATCCTTGTTCATACGATAGCTATACACTCGCAGAGAAACGTGTAAAAATTTGGAATCGATTGGGTCATTAGTTTTTGAGTTATAGTGCCCGCCATTCACAAAGAGAAAAACGCGTTTAAAGTTTGAGAAGCCCTTTAGCCGTCACTTGATGCTGACACAATAAATCGGCTATATCTTCAAGAGTTCTTGAGATTTTCTTTTGAAATTTTGTAGGGACATTCTTGAATTAGTGTAATTTTGACCCCGAGAATAGGGGGTCCCCTTAAGTAAAAAAATAACTTTTTGTTCTTATTCTGAAGTTCACAAGTCAACATATTTGCGATTTTTTTTTAATTTTAAAAATTTAACTTTTAAAAACATTATCGTAAATAATTTTTTTAATTCTCTTAAGTAAAATAACCTTAAGTAAAATAACCTTTGATTTTTTGTTTTTTTGAAGATCACAAATCAACTTTTTTTTGAATTTTTTTAAAGTTTTTTTTTTAATTTTTTATCTTTAGTCTGTCGATTTTAAGACCTACCATTGTTCAGCAGACAAAAAACATCAATATTTCTTTGTCTGTTTTTAAAGGAATTTATCGCAATTTTCCCTTTGAACTCACGTTCATTGTTAAAAGCTTTCGTAGCGTATGAGTATTGTCACAATGTATACGCCACATGCCATCAAGGTGAAGTAATGCTTTTGTAGCATACGTTTGCCACTGCATTTGTACATTTAATGGATTACAAATAGAGTTTGACATTTGCAATTGATTGCACACGTCGGTGGACATATTTCACAGGAATTCAATTGTCAACAACAGGTAAATGAAATAATAGAACGAGCTTAGAATGGCGACAAACGGAATATTGTAAGGAGAAGATCTGTAAATTTTTGGGAATGAAGTGGACGAACATTTTTTGGAACATTCGTAGTAACTAGTGGATGTTTTGAGGCAAAATATCGTAAAGAAAAATCTTACACTTTTCTACTAGCAATGCAATATTTGTATCAATTCCCAGAATTTTGCAATTATAATTTTTGCGAACTGATCATGCCATATGAAATTTTAAAATTCTTGACATGGAAATGTATACGTGTCTATCTTATGAGTTGCAGTCATTTTTTTCTCGCATGCATTGCTGGATTGCACGACTGGTTTCAGATTATTGTGTATATTATTCATAGCGTATGAGTTCTGTCACAATGTATACGCCACCCATTAACAAGGGTGCAGTTGTAGCATACCCATTTGTACATTAAATGGATTGCAAATAAAGTTTGACATTTTCAATTTATTGCATACATAGACGAGTTTATTTCACAGGTATTCTATTGTCAACAATAGAGACAGTAAATGAAAGGAATAGCGAAAGAAATACAGTAACATTTTATGTTGACATTTTTGAAAAATATTCTTAAAAATTCTAAGGAGCTAAAGATGACCATAATATTTTTGAATGAATTGTATGTGTACATGTAACGCTATTTGACATGAGAGAAGTTTCTCTAATGTATTATTGAGTATTCTGAATATGTTCTATAGCGTATGAGTGCTGTCACAACGTATACGCAATCTACCATTAATAATAATTATTTGTTTTAGAAGGCTATTTAGCGGATTAGAAATGGAATTTGTTTGCTAAAAGGGACTTGAACTTTGTGACAGTCATTCCAGTAACCAATCTAAAAATTATGGAAGAAATATGAATAATTTTGGACGAATTTTTACTGTATGGAATTCTCAGAATTCTATTCATCATTACTCCCCTATAATGTTATAGAGTTTTCAGGGGAATGAATGGCGTTCCATATTATAGTCAATTTAAGTCCAATATGTGATTATATTTAATATTTTTCAAATAGAGTATAAGTAACGTTACGTATATGTTATACGCCACCCATCATCAAAACCATTAAAATTTCTGCAGGTTGCTGGATGACCTCGTAATTGGCGATGAAGTTTGGTTAAAAGGATATTTTCATGAACGTTAAATTTTTATTTTTGGAAAATATAGACGAGAAATTATGTTCCGAAATTTCTGGATTTCTAAAAGATATTTAGGGTATTGTTTAGAAAGTTATTCAATGTATTTAACGCAAAATACATTGTGTATGAGTGCTGCCACAACGTATACGCCAAGAGAATTTACCTCAATAGGAATCTCGAAAAATCCAATACAATGTCAGTATGGAGAAATTTCGTATGAAATCGTTCAAAATGAAAAAATGTGAGGCAAAAGTATAGGATTATAAAGGGACGCTTATTAAAATTTCCACAGTAACTGAATGACCTCAGAATTGGCTATAAAATTTGAAGGTTAAAAGGATATTTTTTTGGAAAATCTAAACAAGAAGTTATATTCCAAAAATTTTAATTTTTTAAAGATATTTAGGGTATCGTTTAGAGATTCATACAATATACATAACGTAGCGCATTGCGTATGAGTGCTGTCACAATGTATACGCTACCGCATTTTCATGAAAATATAATATAATAAAGGTACTTAAAGATAATTGACCTCAGTATGAGATTCGAAAAATCTAATAAAATGTCTGTATGGAAAAATGTCGAATAAAATCATTCAAAATAAAAAAATGAGTGCGAAAAGTATGAGATGATCCTCCTGACTCAAAATCGGCGTTGTACGCAGAAGGCAATCAATTTAAGACGTAACCCATTTGATCTCCAAAAAAGGCTATTTCAGCAAAGAACCAAGAGCCCGGCAAATTAAATAAATCTTGATAGAGTGTGAAGGTAAAGTTAGCTCTAATGAAGAAAAATACACATAGGGTAAACCTGTCGAGAACATGGTCTTCAACTCTAAATGGACCGGGACTAAAACTCCTTATTTGTGGGTCAGAAAGACGACAAAAACTCCTTGATGGTCGATGTGGACTTTTATAATAAATAACAATCGCCATAAGTTCGGTCGGGTCGAATTATGTTAGGTTAGTTAGGTATTAAAGTAGCGACTGTAAAATTTGGATAGGGCCATTAAGGCATCTAAAATGGGGAGGATGAGTTATTTGGTGCTATATCAATCCATAAACCTATATTCGGAGTTTTCTGCGAGGTTGTAGTTTACTCTATGAGAATTCGATAGCCCTATTTTTTTTCTTTTATTCGCACTATTTACAAATATTTAAGGCATAGTTATACCTATCGTGTAGTTACAAAAATATATGTTTTTTAAGGTCTTTTTTTAAACTACATTTTTCCAGATTCTTTTAAAGTCTATAAATCATAAAATAAAAATAATTGTATTTGTCCTAATATATCCATAATTTCTCCTAAGCTCATGGGTCGTATAATTATTTTTTTTTTTCATATAAACAATACGTCCCTTATAAAGTTAATAATGTTACTTATACGACCCTTAATATTGCATGCTCAAAAACGAATTTTTTTAAATTTATTTCTTGAAGAATCTATAAATAATAAAATAAAAACATTTGTCCCTGACCTGATTAAATTTGTTTCCTACCTCTATAAATTCTCTAAGGCCCATGGGTTTGACTTTACCTTTTATTACTCATACGCTCACTTATAAATTTAATAAAATGACTTATACGCCCTATAATAATGCACCCGCAATTACCCAAATGCATAGTCTCTATTTCCTTCCTACCTCTTTATATAAATTAAAAATTTCCAGGTTCTTTACAAATCTTTAAATCACAAAATAAAAACATTAGTCTCTGACCTGATTAACATTATCTCCATAATTTCTTCAAAGCACATGGGTCGTATAATTATTTTTCTCATACAAACAAATATCATATTACTTATACGTTCCCTTATAACATTAATAATATTACTTATACGCCCCTTAACATTGCTCCCTCAATTACCCAAATGAACAATCTCTATTATTATCTTACCTCCTTATATAAGCGACTTTTTTTTTCAAATTTTTCCAAATTTTCCAGATTCTTTAAATGTATTTTATTCACAAAATAAAAAACTAGTCTCGGGCCCGATTAAAATTATGTCTACCTCCATAATATCTTCAAAGCCCATGGTCGTATAATTATTATTTTTCCTTCCAAAACTATAAAAGTACTCATACGCTCCCTAATGAATGTATTCATACTTATACGTCCCATGGAAATCTCTATCACAATTAGCCAAATGTACAATCTCTATTATCTTTCTGCTCCCTCAAAGGACTCATTGTCACACCTAACGACCATATTGTCTCCCTTTTGTTCCAATACCTTTCTTAGAATTTTCGGAATCAATCAATCCAATGCACTAAACAACAAATAAATCTTCTTAAAACCAATCACTCTGCACAATATGTGTTACCTGGAGCCGAATGGGCTAGGATGGAAAATGCATAGGATTTTCCTCATATTGGCATTCCCTAAATTTTCCACAACATTAAATCCGCACACCCTAGCCGACAAACAAACAGTAGTAGCTAGCAGATGTCTGTAGGCAGTCCAAACAATGCACTGGCCGAAGTGTACAAAAATCAAAGGACAAACACAATGGTCATGTCACATGGATGCCACAAGGCATGGTCAATTGCTGCTGCTGTTGTTGATGCCACTGCTGTTGCAGCTAAACAAATGACGATACAAAGAACCAGAGAAAAATATCAAGCTGGCAAGACAAACGAGAAAATCAACGATGTGCACACACGCTGCGAATGCAGTGCAGGGCATAAGAAGCTATTGATAATGTATATACATATATAGAGAGAGATAGTGAAGAGACATATACTTACTGCATCCCTGTTCATCAGAATTATCGCCACAGTCATCCTTGTGATTGCACTTCAATGAAGCACTAATACACTTTAAGCCATTGGCACAACGAAACTGATCCAGGCGACAGGCGGTGCCCTTGCAGCCCTCCTCATCACGACCATTGCGGCAATCCAAATAGCCATCACAACGTTTTTCCGTGGGCACACATGGACCGGACAAACGACTGCCATCGGAGGGTGGTAGACCGCCGGGTTGATTGCAGAAAACATCGGTCGTTTGACATTTTCTATAAGCTGTAGTCGGTCGAGACAGTAGGATTCAGATGGGCAGTTGGAAACGGAATAGTAGCAGTAGTAGCGGTAGCAATGTTAGTGGTTGGCATTGTCAGTATCAGCAGTTGGATATTGGGTTTTGTGTGAGGTTTTTGTTGTTGTTGTTATTGGCGAGCAATCAGAGTTTTCAACATTACGTAAAGCCCATAAAAAATGTTTGCCGACGTTGAAAGAATTCGGAAAGGAAAGGCAGGACGGCAAAAAAATGTGAAATGAACAAATGAAGAATTGGCATCCAGACAAGGAGAATTATATATGAAGATATACATATATATGTTTATATATAGATTATTGACAATTTATTGCATCAGATTGCATTGTGGAAGTGAGTGAGAGAGAGAGAGTGTGTGTGTGGAGGGGGTTTGAATGTATGTATGAGTGTTTGCCATTAAGATGGGTTTATACATATGATTGTTGACATGAATGAAGTTGGATGGTTGGTTGGTCGGATTTGTTTGTTTGTAAGTTGCGCGCAACATTGAACAAACATCGAAATCGAAGTACATATATATATGTACGAGTCAAGATTGCAGTGAGTGTCATTGTCATCATTCGGAGTTACAAAAGGCCATTGAGAGCAGACATCAGAAGAATGTCAAACAGATAGCGAGTTTGTTTTTGTTGACATAAAAGGGGGAAGAACGAAAAAAAAATAACGATGATATGCAAAAAAAAAAAAAAAAAAAAAAAATATATGCGACAGATGCCAGCGTTAAAACAATGATGATAATATAAGTAAAAAATATTAAAGGAAAACAATAAAATAAGGAAGGAAGTTGAGGAAACAGGAAACGGAAATGATTGTTGATTTTATATATTGGGGAAAAAATTGAGATTTTTGTTGAGCAACGTTTGTCGAAATATATCAGTATCGGCATTGATGTCAATGTTGTCATCATCGAAAACATCGTGGAGGAGGACATCAAAGTAACCATCATGGAGTAGACGACAGCAGACATGAAAAGAAAAATAAAAAAGGGGGAGATAAAGAAGAAAACAATTAATAAGAATATTTATTGAAAAGGGTAATAATTAAAATTTACATTAATAAATAATTATAATTAATTGGAATGGTAAATATTTGTGGATATCAGAGACATATATATATTATACATTGTATCATTAAAATCAATAAGAATATTAAACATAACAAATATATATTTAATTAAAATAAATGACAAAGAAGTTTTCAAAATGTCAGTCATCTTCTTTAATTTTACATAAAACTTTAATCTTTCAAAAAAACAATTCAAAAAAAGTTGTCCGAAGTCGTTTATCTCTAATTTGGTCTTAAATTACTTAAGTCTTTAATAATTTATCCAGTTGAATATTTATTAAATTTATTTAGTAATTTTTTTAGTGTCAGTCTTAAAATTAGATATTATCAGTCTGCTAATTAAAAAAAATATATATCTCGGTCCATATACAATATATGTTTAAGGGATTTTTCTCAAACAGATCAGGTTTGTAATTTTTGAAAGTAGTTCGTCAGATTTAGTTCAAAATAATTGTGAATACATTTGTAAAAAATAACTATAACAATTCCGAGAAAAAATTAAAATAGTGCTACCGACATATTCTAATTAATTAAATTACCCTACAAAGGCGTATGATTGCTGCCAACACTTATACACCACCCATTGCTATTTAATATTACAACTCTACTTACTAGGGGCGATATTTTTATTTTGTAACTATTTATGTCTTTGTTTCAGAGGTTTTATATACTGATATTGTTTTTTTTCCGAAGCAACTACTTTGTTGTTATAGTCAATTACTTTTTAATATAGAGAGAAGGATCAATTTTTTTTAGTTAAATACTACTCAATGTTAAAATTTTCCATAGATTATAAGTTTTGTCGAATATGCCATAAACCAAGATGTCTTAAATGCATCGAATCTATACTTGTGTCTTCTACAACATTCTCTTCATTTAATTTAACCCTCCAATACCATTTGATATTGTATATTTATGGAAATTCCAATTTTTTCTGTTGTGACTTCGATTTTTTTTTCAGAACCAAAAAATTGAATAATGTAAGAAATTTTTAAAAATTAAAAGAGTATGGAGAGAGAGAAGGCCATTTTATTTGATTAACTATTCATTAATATTAATTTACCAAAGCGTATGAGCGCTGTCACAACGTATACGTCACATATCACTAAACGTTAAATATATTTATATTAAAATGAAATTTAAATATACATAAAATATTTTTATATCATGATGTGTTTGATCATTTTAAAATGGTTGGGTTTTTTTTAATTTTATTGAAACCCTGTATAGAAACTGATTACATATTAAGATATTGAAGATAACGTAGGTTAATATTCTCTCATATTCTCCAACATTCTATTCATTTAAATTAATCCAACTGTCACAATTTATACGAAATCCAATACCATTTAATATTGTAATTGTGTTTATGGAAATTTCATTTTTTCTATTGCGACATCGATTTTTTCATAATCAAATAATTTAATAATGTAAGAAATATTGAAAGATTAAAAGAGAATCGAGAGAGAACGATATCTTATTTAGTTAAATATTTATTAACATTAATTTACGAACGCCTGTATCCATAGAAAGTGATTACATATTAATTGTTGAAAACATCGCAGGTCGTTACTTAGCGAAAAAGGTTAATGCTTAGAAATTCTATGAAGTATGAGTGCTATCACAACGTATACGTCACCCATCGCTAAATGGTAAACTAGTTTTATTAAACGTTTATAGAAATTGTGTTTAAAATCCATATGCTCGTGGTTTAATAGTGGGAACACATATAAATTGGAACTTAAATAAAGTCTTGGATAATCAGATGAATATAAATTGATCCTATAAGAGATTTTTTTAGCAAACAGAAAGTTGTACTAAATAAAATGTTAAAGATTAAGTTTAGAAACTTCATGGCGTATGAGTACCGTCACAATGTATACGCCACCCACATCAACAATTGAGAGAGGCGTTTATTTATTAAGTTACAGTTTCTTGATATAATTTCATATAATCCACGGCTTCTGATAGGTATACAGTTTTTCTATCAATATTTTATTAGGTTTGTAGTTTTTTACTTAGCAACTATATTCTATGGTGTATATGTGCTACCACAATGTATACGTCACCCATCCCTAAATGATAAATAAATTCAATTTAATTTTTATACCCTACACAACTATGTTGTCAGGGTATTATAGCCTTGTGCAGCCCCATGAGTTTGTAACGCCGCGAAATTTCGATCTTAGATCCACCTTTAAGTGTACCGATCGTCATATCTCGACTAGCTGAGCCGATCTAGACATGTGTGTCCGTCCGTCCGTCTGTCAATTATAATTTGTAAACACGATACAGGCCACAGTTATGGACCAATCTTCACGATGAGCAATTTGCATGTAGGATGAGCTCTCGCCAATGAAAAACCCTCTTTGGTAAACATCGGATAATATTTAGGGGATGAAATGGACCAATTACTTAATTTTTGTCGGTTTTTCTGGTCGCTCCAGAGGCCGCAATTATGGCCCAAACATTTTTTACATGGAAAAGGGGATCGGGCCAAAGAATAAGCGTGCCTGTTTTGATAAAGATAATTGAATATTTTGCGGGTCAAATGGACCCTGACTTTTGTGTGAAAAGTTACAAAATTTCTTTCTATGGCGTATATATTTAATCCTGAAGGACATAGACCCGAGAAGTTGATAGTATATCCAAGAGGAGTGGTTGACCTTTAAATTGATACCAATTATATTGTCGTATGTACTCAGATGTGGGAGTTGCACTTAAATATTTACAGGTTCTTACGTATTCAGATATTATTTAGTATCCCATTACCACACTAGAGGGCGTAAATATAGCGCTGATCGCTTTGAAATTTTCCATGAGGATCTAGGTATGGTCAAGGACAACGCCTATAATTTTCGATGATAATCAGATAATAATTTTGGGATGAAGTGGACCGAAAACTAAATTTTTTGTGTTTTTCAAGTCGATCTATAACCACAATTGAAAGCTGAACGTCACAAAACAACCTACGGTGAAGGGAATTTGCACAAGTAATTAGAAGGGCTGTACTGAATATTAGTAATATTTGTTGACTTCTAGACGGTCAAGAGGATGCAAATATCGCGAAATATTACCCAAGCTCAGAGTATAGAACCACAGAATGTTATATTTTCGTGGAAGTTGTGTAGGGTATCATATGGTCGGCTCCGTCCGACTACACTGCTCCGCTCACTAGTTTAAAGATATGTTTCAAGGTTTATATTGACTTTTTTCACAAGTTTTGGTAGATCTGTATTTAAAAAAAATATTTTTTCAAAGCTTCTGGTAGACATAGTTGCTAAAAGTCATTGAAAGTTCGTAGTGGAGCTGGATGTTTTATTATTATTCCAAGTTGTGTGGATTCATATTATTTTTTTATTTTTTTTTTTTTTTAGATTTTTTATTGAAAATTCATTTAACTTTTGCAATTAATTAATCGTCAATATGTTTTGTCATCATCGTTTCTAGCAGTCATTTCTAACGTAGTTGGCTTTGGCCTACTCAAATCATCTATCATGTCAAATGCAGTTGTTGGGCATAGACATTATAGAGAACTTTCTTGTTCGATTTTAACATTTCAATTTTTCAAATGCATTCCGTCCTCCTTCCGTCTCTTTCTCTCTGCCTCCAACAACCAGTACAATAAGTCATTAGTAACATTCAGGTTATTGTTGTTGTGTTTTTTTACTGTCAATGTAAAAGGAAATAAATCCTGTTCAATTATTTCCTTGTCTCATATATATATTTCTCGTTTTTCTGTGATTTCCAGATTTCGAAAAATGGCAAAAGTTATTTTCGCTGTCATGGCAAGGTATAAAATGTGAACGTGAGGTATGATAGTAATGTCTTGGTTTCTTAACATTTCATATACATCTCAGTTCGATTTTCTTTATTTTTTTTTTTTTGAAAAGAAAAAATAGTT